CGCACCCGGGCATCCTGCCGACGAATGACCTTCCGCAGCAGAAGGCGTCGTGCGTAGTTGGGAATGGCACTCTTGACGATGATAATCGCCCAGTAGGTAATACCTGCTGCACAAACGGTCTTACTTCTACGAACTACAGAGAGGCTCGGATTATTGATGGGTTTCTGCAAGAGTAAGGATACGTACAGTAGATTTTAGTTCGCATTAAAAATGCAGCTGGCATTTTAACAAGATGATTTAACAGAAAGTGGGGGCTGTTTATTCTGTTCACTAAATTAAATTGTGTTGCACAACATGCCGTATACCAGCATAATACATCGTATCCGTCAATTTATTTATTAATTTATTAATTTATTATTTATGTTCCGCATCTATTGCAATATTTTATGACAACTTTGTGACTTATTCCTCAAATTGTAGGTGAAAAAGTACTTTCCCCTAGACAGTATATACACAATGCGCAGTTTGTAAGCCTTGAAAATTATTATTAGAAATTATTCGGCAATTGAAAAACTTTTTGAAAACCGTAAGTTACCCTTCCTCTAAGAATAAAATTTAGAGAAGGCGCAATTTGCTATCAAACGAGTACAAGAAATATTTTTTCGTGCATTTTTCCCAACAAATATATTTGAATTTATAAAGGCAGTCAAAATAAATGATTAAAAGGCATGCTACTTAAGTAGCCGGTTTTTACAATAGATACGTTTTGCTAGTGGTCAGAACGAAGCTCGTTAAAAAAACTCGCATGGCTGAAATGACTTTAGAATAGAATACACGATAATCAGTATCACAACCTGAGTTAATGCCGATTAGCGATAGAGTATACATCTTGCGCATATGTCGGGATATTGCGTGATTTTCGGCGACTACTGTATATTGAAGGAGAATCTTGGTGTACGCGGGCCGAATCCAACGATGCCTGATATCCGAGTATTTTCCTAGGATATAGTCAATGCTATTTTTTTGCGTGTGTTACTATAAAAGAACATTAATTTAAGCCAGATATGTTTTAACGATATCTTTTGAGTGAACAGAGAGCATTGTTTGCCCATCATGAACATCGGGTAAATCGCATTGTTTTGGGGAAAAGAGTAACAGATTCCTGTTTTGCGAACCGGGAATGTTTTTGTGCCATGAAATTAAGTGAAACATGGGTGTAATTGTAGTTTGTTCTACCACACCAAAATTAAGTCCTGTAAACAAGCATATATATATGAGAAGAAGAGGCAATCACGGGAACAAAAGTTTTACTTTCCTAACGTTTTAAAAGCATGCAGGCTTTTGTCAGCAGAGGTCTAAGTTCTACCACACCTCACAGTATTTATAGTAAGCCACAGTCATAGTCAATAAGGTATACGCCAACTCAGGGCAAGGCAAGGAGAGATGTTCAATCATCGTGCACCATGAAGCAGATTAACCTCAGTCAGGGGTCCTGTTGTTTGCGCTTATGTGCAGTTGCCATTGACCTAAGCTGTGTATGAAATAGATCCGACAAAGCCAAGGGAGACCGGAATGGCCATTTCTGGCTTGATAGCCGTCATCCGCCGTTCATAACCAATCTCAAGGGTCGGAACCCCCGAGATTTGAATCCGGGGCCTTTGGTCACTGAGTTTAAAACTCAACCTCGGAACCACAGGCTCGTTGCTTAGGCGGTTGCGATAGGGAATATGATGAATGTATGGGCTTCGCCAACCTAGTAGAGGAAACTTAAGTTCTGCTTTGCCAGGAGCTCACAGTCAGATCCGGCACAGGCAGGCACATAGTGACTATGATGAAGAGATGGAATGGATCCAACAAAGCAAATGGAGACCGGAATGGCCATTGCTGGCTTGTTAGCCTTCATCAGCCGATCCTTGAGATTAGGTATGACTGGCAAAGGACTATCAGTTTTTTCGAAATCTTAAGATATATTCTGGCACTCTCTTGTACATTTTCAATCCAAGAACGGGACCCAGAAGTAAACAAATACACCTCTAACTGCTTATTTATGCATAGAAATGTGCGTTCTTTCGTTTTAAAAAGAAGGTGTATCCTTAATAAACAGGAAAGGCAAAAATACCGGTCAAATTTTCCCATTTTTTATCTTGAGTTAACCTCCGAAAGGAGTTAAGTACGCAGACTTTGCCCGCATAACTATCTAATTAAAGCGTTTTAAAGAATAGCTTGCTATATAAAGTTTTTCTCAATTAATCTTAGGCGTATTCAATTGTTATTGTTATTATCGATGTTCCGTTCTTCTTGCCACTGAGCTGACATGTTTGGGTAATTCTAAGACCATGACCGGCATAAAAAAGCTCAACAAGAAATTTTATCCAAAAATAACCATGTAATTTAATGCCTGCATTTTAAAGGTTTTGCTAAGCACCTATAACCTAATCTCTTCTTATGTAAAATTGACTGAAAACATCAAAAATCGTAAAGTGTTCACCCCCATTAAAAAAACGATTAAAACAGCGTCGTAATTATAATCTCGAAATAATTAAAAAGAAATTTGGCGTCAAAGGTTTCTCTCAGTCAGTACAGAGCGACGCAGGGGCAGTCCCTAACTGACGCAAACACCAATTGAGTACGTTTGGAATGTCGACTGTTTTGCAAATGTACTCAAGTCCGGAATCAGCGTCAAAAGTGTGCTCTTTACAGTTTTCTACTTTTCCTAACGAGAATTTTTTTCCTTCGCAGTGTATTTGCAGCGATGCATACCTTCAGAGTTATACAAATATATAGGCATGACGTGGCGTCGGCTTACTCACCGGCCACCCCCTCGTCCGGTGGTGGATCGGTCAGCCGTTGGAGTTCGCTCGGAACGCTGT